CCAGCCTAAGGCACACCTGTGCAATAATCATGCTGTCTAATCAGCATCTTGATATGCCACACCTGTGAGGTGGGATGGATTATCTCGGCAAAGGAGAAGTGCTCACTATCACTGATTTTTTCAGATTTGTGAACAATATTTGAGAGAAATGGTTATTTTGTGTATATAGAAAATGTTTTAGATCTTTGAGTTCATCTCATGAAAAAGGGGAGCAAAAATAAAAGTGTTGCGTTTATATTTTTGTTCAGTGTAGGTTGCGGTAGAATAGTCTTTAAGGATAGAGAGGTTCCTTACTGATTGAAATGAGCCAAGATAAAAGCCAATCCATTTCTCTAAATGGAGAAGCAGAGTTCAGTTATTATGCTCCAAATATCTGGAACAAACTCCCAGAAACCTGCAGGTCCGCTGCAACTCTGACTACTTTTAAATCCAGGCTGAAGACTTTTCTTTTTGCCGCTGCTTTTAATTGAACTATTCACATCTTAGACTGCACTGTAACTTTTATTCATGTATTTTATCTTTTAATATTTATTTGATTATTTTTTCTTTTTGACTGTTTTTAAATGCCTTTTTCTTAATGTCTTTCATTTTTGTAAAGCACTTTGAATTGCCTTGTGTTTAAAGTTGCTATATAAATAGACTTGCCTTGCCTCTAAATGCTAAGAAAAGGTGCTTCAATATAAGCTCCTTTCACATCTTTCCTTGACCTCATGGTGTTTTTCATCAAGGTGAAGAAAAAGTGGTTGGCATATTACATGCTTTATTTGTTTTATGATTCAGCTGCAGCCATCACTCAGGTTTAAATTCTATCGATCTGTGTAAATATCACTTCTTGAGCTTTACCAAAGCCAGTCTCTCTTGACCACATCGAATGGTATCTTAAAATATATAGTCTTTGTAGTGCTCAATAAACTCCAGCTGTGTTTGAGCTCCAGTGGAGTGACAAAAAAGGGGAATTGCACTAAAAACATAGTGACATTCAAACTGCTGAGGGCTTATTGTAGCTTTGGCATTTGTACTTCATAGTATTTACAGATTGTATCTCTTGTGTGGAGTTCCATAATTGCTCTCCATGACAATACAAGTGAATTATTCCAGCTAAATTAAGGATCATTTTTGTGTACTGTGCATAGTAAAATAGGACCTGGAGCCCCCTTTAAAAGAGCTGTGATTGACGTATGTGACCTTAATTCATCTCTACTCTGCAGACAGCCTGTCTGCTGGCTCACCTGTTTTGAAAACTCCACACGTAACCCTGACAGAATTGAACTGCATCTACTTTATGTATTCCCTTTGCAGAGGTGGACCTCTTCCTGAGCACTGCTCTGACTGAGGTCCTCTTTGTAGCTGTCTAGTAGCCCCTGCGCTCTGAATTCTGGATGTATGCTCAAAGGAAGAGAGCTACTTTTTATGGACTTTATCATCTGTGCTCAAAGTCAACAACTAAACTTAGACATAATAAACATTTTACCTTACCTTACAGTTAAACACAGGAGCTTTTTCATTGCATCACGCTTTGTATTTACTGTTTAAAATAGTAAGGTTGGATAGTTGCGTCAATATGCTGCAGTGAGGTAGCAGCACCCCCCTGTAATCTGTTTAGTAACAGCTAATGTGAGTTGAAAAACAAGAGGCTGTTCCAACACTGATAGCTAGAGGAACAATGATGCTATTAACAATGATAAATAAATGACAGGATAAACTGCTTCAAGATATTTATTCTGTATCTTAAACACTTATATGCTGTATATCTACTCAATACATTCACTATGAATCTTACAAAACATTCAAGAATACAGATTATTTGTATATATATATTAGAGTAGTTTGACATAACAGTGGGATACATACTTCATTCTACAAGAAAAATACATACACAATCATATTTTAAAGATATTGGAATACTCCCCATTTTAGGAGGCACAGGAAGTACTGAGGTGAAAGCACTCCCCAATCATCAGTGGTAACAAAACATGAAACAGTGGCGTTATGAAAGTAAACCAAACATATACAGATGGATGAAACGTAATGCACACGCTGTATATTCAATTAAAGTATAGGAATGTACTGTGTTTGTCACTGTGTTGACGTAGGCACTGAGAAGTTCTTGACAATGAATACCTACATATTATCATTTATATAATCCCTGTATTTCTCATAAAATGCAGAGAGAGAGTATTCTCTTACTGTTTTCAACAAATGTACTGTAGATTATCATGTAAACCACCCGTCTTTAACAACCTCCTGTCAGTGCAGTTGATGACAGCTAAACCTTTTGATAGTCTCCGTATAAGTGTAAGAGGAAATGTATGGCACGACGTAATAGGAGAATGGAAATGTTATATATGAGCAGCATTGAATGTGAAAACACCGCTGGTCCCTAATGTGTTGCTCTACCTTCAGTACAGACAGGTTTTCTTCATGATGCGCAGGAACTCCTGCTGGTTCACTTCTCCATCTCCATCCCTGTCTGCTTCCTCTATCATTTCCTTCAGACACACAAAATAAGAGACCAGAGGAATTTAAAACAAGCTTTTTTGGTAGCATTCGAAGCAAATGTTGTGTTTACATAATGCCAAACTGCAGTCATGACCTTTGAGAGTGGAGTTGAGCACTAATATGAATGTAATTTTGTTTCTTTCTACATGATGGTCATTACCTGCAGCTCTTCATCTGTGAGGTTCTCTCCCAGCTCTTTGGCTACTCTCTTCAGATTCTTGAACGAGATCCTGCCCGTCTCGTCGTCATCAAACAGACGGAAGGCTTTCAGGATCTCCTCTTTGGAGTCCTTCTCAGCCTTAAATCAGAGAAGACGGAGAGCAAGTTTAGTTCAAACTGCATTTCTGCAAGGGTGTGTACTGTAGTGGTCGGAGAACAGACAAAAATAAATACAATACAAGTATAGTCAAAAAGTGTCTGATAGGGGTGGAATAATGACTGGGGCTCTACTGACTAACAGGTTAAGCATCTACAATTACAAACTACAAACTAGTAACTCAATTTTAAACAAGAGAAAACAAAATGAATGCATATCTGGTATATTTCATGATATAGATAAGTACCATTTTCTGTGTCATGACAAAGAGGAAGTCAGCGAAGGAGATTTTCCCTGTGCCGTCCTTATCCACGTCGCCAATCATCTTCTTGATCTCCTCTTTCTTTGGTTCAAACCCCAGAGCTCTCATTGCAACCTGTCACATTGAGAGAGGTGTGAGAGTGAAGCCCATAGAAAACGGTCTTCTTCCACCTGTTGTGTGACTGTTATCAGCGTTGGGGCTCTTTTACCTTGAGCTCCTTGACATCAATGTATCCGCATCCATCGGTGTCGAACAGCTCAAAGGCCTCTCTGATCTCCTGCTTCTGCTCCTCTGTCAGCTCTGGTTTGGGGGTGGTCTTCTTGCGAGGAGGGGGCACGGGACCCTGCAGGGATGGTCTCTTGGCAATGGTCGCCTGATGGGGACACAGGAGGGGAGAAATAAGCAGAATAATTGTAATAATTGCAGACACAAGAGCCTATGATAACAACAGAATCAGAGAGGCTCCTGGGTGAAAATGGGCATATCCACATGCACACAAATACATTATATCCATCACTAATGAGTCAAATTCAACACAATAACAACGATTGTGGTTCTAATGAGGATGTTTTACTCACCATCAGCTGCAATGTATTTGTTTGCCAAAAAGGAAAATGCAGATCTTAGGCGATCTATGTTTTTATCTTGGCTATGAAGCCTCCCTATCATTTAGGGAGGAGGTGATGATAAAAACAGGTTAGCAGTACTTGACATCAGTTGCTCGCATTAAACGTTAAATCCCTCCGAATGAGAGGTAGTGTCTTATTCCTCAAAATGTTCTATTTATTTCGCAGGAACGGCTGTTAAAATGTGCAGAAAATACCATGGATGTATAATAAGAACACGCACAGGTTCCGCTGTTCAGGAGCTGTCGTCATGGAGCCAATGCGTTTAATTTGTGCACCCTTTGTGCCAGCAGAGAGGAGATTAGCTTCATGACCACTGGGAAACTGATGCAGGATACCGAAAAGGCACGAATGGGAGTGAAAATCAAACGCATCAGTCGGGCGAAAATATGATTGGCTGCTGAAGATCACGGGGTGCAAGACACAATCAGAACATTCAGAGCTGTTGACTTCCTGGAGTTTCCATAGAAACATAAACGATGAAACTGCATGACATTTGGAAAGTATCTGTGTTATATTAACATGCAAACAAAACACATATAATTTTGTATTATAGCCTATAAATTCACCCTCTGTGTCAGCAGACCTCATGTCAGAGCTCTACCCATAAAAAGAAAATTATAGATATAAAGAGACTAATTACATTATAGGGTAGGCTATTAATAACAAAATAAATGATATATTTCTATATTTAATAATGTATACCTACTACCTCAATAACTATGTGCTCACTAGTTGTATATCAAAGTTGTTTCCTTTTTATATCTGTTTATTTTTAGCCTACTTTTTAAATTATCATTTGCTCAGTTTAGTATATTTTCCTCATATTACACGTTTTTCGAAGCTGTATATGTTTTATTTGGACTATTGTTAGTAAAGGATACATCTGACAACAAATGATATTCTGCAAAGTATATGGACACTAGTTAAATCTGTATCTATGGGTTTTCCTTTATGCTTGTATTTTATTATTAATGTACATAGAAAAACAGACACAACGAAGTACTAACACTCAAACTATTAACCAGTAGTAGAGAAAAACGTACTCAATTATTTTTATTATTATTGAACGTTTTTGAAGGACAATTTTGAACACTCCCTCACGTGGTGGTCACAAGGGGGGCGGGGTCTTTGAGCCAGAAGGCGGATATAGAACGAGTCTGTGGTCAATGGTTGGTTTAAATTGTGGCGTTCTTTGACGTATGTTGTAGACCATTGGTTATAATCAAACGTCACCTTTCTGCCGAACTTTGGCTCGACCAATCACAGAGCATTTATCACTCAGCTCATTCAGATGGTTGGTCCGCGAGTTGAGTTGCAAGAAACTGCAGGTAAACAGTACCTTTGCATGCTTCAATGTTAAAAGTGTCACATTTATGTCCTGTGTGTTATAATATTAGGAGCACCGTTTCGTTACCTAGTATTCCACCTGTAGGACAACGTTATACTTTCGCTCACCAATTGGTCACTTTTAACTCAGTATGACAACTCGTGTTCGACCGGTGAGTTCAAACGTTTTTCTTTTCACGGTACACATTTGCTTAAACTTTTTATGGTGATAGTGCTTTTTGTTGGTCTGACATTTCTCATTTATCGCTACCTGTGCAGAGTAACAAGCGGTGTGCAGTCATCGGGGGCTCGGGTTTCCTGGGCAGACACCTGGTAGAGAAGCTGTTGGATCGAGGCTACTCTGTTTCTGTGTTTGATATCCGTCAGAGTTACGAGCTGCCTGGGGTCGCCTTCCACCTGGGAGACCTGTGCGACAAGCAGGTGAGACCCAATACCCTCCTAGAGTCGGACTTAAATTACAACAATTTACACGAGCCATGGATGTATAAAGATAATTTCATGTGGATCTGATCTGACTAAACACAAAACCAAAAACCATGCTTGCAGGAATAGGTCTTAGCTTTGTTAAAAATACACTTTTAAAGGTCACCTATCATGCAAAATTCACTTTTTCATGTATTTTATACATACATATGTGTCCCCTCTGTGGAAAAAAGACCCCCTCCCTTTTTGTCCTGATCCATATAAAAACCTGTCTGAAAATGAGCTGATCAGATTTTGGCCACTTTATGATGTCATAACGATTTTTTGGCTTGTGTAACCATTAGCCAATAACCAACCAAGGTAACACCTGCCCACCTTATCACCCGAATCTCTTCCGAGAGCACCATTGCGTTTTTTTTAACCAAATATCTCTCAGATGCCCCTTTAACACCAACGCGGTTCCCGTTCTCGCTCCGTGCTTGCGTTCTTCTGGTTACGAACCGGTTTTTCTTTTCAGCCCCCGTTTTGTTCACACCGCTTAGAGCCCGACTGGTGCTGCCGCGGCTGCGTCATGACGTCACCGTTTACGTAGCTGATTTTCTCCCCAACGCTCACAACAACAACAACAACAATGAGGGACTGCGTCGGGTCGATGATCGTGTTGCTTTTAATCATACGAAGCCAGATTAAATTAAATAACTACTTCTCAACCCTTATACTTTTCTCCAGAGTGCCGTGGTTTATTGTTTATTAATGTGTTTCAGCGGCATTTACCGACCGCTGCAGTGCTGCCCGCTGTTTGGCATCAAAACGCCGTTATGAAAGTTTCTTTGGTATAACATGGGTGATGTTAGCATAGCAACTGAAGCTAAACTGACTATATTGACAACTTGTTGCTATTCTATTGTGGCATAAGCCGTTTTCTACAGGCACATTTTACCGGCTTATTTTTCATTATGATTCTACTTGTGATAGTCTGTGCAGCCCATGTATTGATTCCATCTGATAGCTGCTATAATACAAAACAAAACGTCTGCCTGCTCTCCACAATGATCAATAACAGCGTACGGATGGTCAAAGTAAGGTACACATAAACAGAATCGCACTAAGCCTGGTTAGTCTTGCCTGGCTTTATAAAGTGTGTGGTTGCGTTCTAGTCACTTTGCGGCTTGTTACAACTTTTATTTGCCGTACTCGCCATAAACTGTTGCTCAGGTTGATCCCGCCCCTGCCCCCGATGTAAGCGTGACGTATGCGGTTCTTGCTTCTAGACCGACAATCTTTTGGAGCTTGGTAAGAACCGGTTTTCGGGGAAAAGAGCCGGCTCCGCTGCGGTGTGAACAGGAAAAACGGTGCTTATCAGGCTCTAGCTCTGAACCGGCCCTGGAACCGCGTTGGTGTGAAAGGGGCAACAGGGGCATTGGGAGTGGCTCCTTATTTTCATCTAAAGTAACAGACACAGAATCAGAACTCGGATGCTACAATGCATGATCTGTTTGGTATTTGAAGCCAAACACTTCAGAGACATGGTTTGTATATAACTGAGAACTATAATATATTGATGAAAAACAGTATAATAAGGGACCTTTAAGTCTTTGAACATTTTTCTTCAAGGTTTTAGAGACCTGTATTTTCAGCTGACCTGCAGTTTCCCAATGAACACTTGACACTTTCCCACTGCCTGAAAAGACTTAAAACAAATCTCTGACCTGAACCAATTGTCCGAAGCTATGAAATGTCCCTTTCTGCTCCAGGCTCTGCTGCCAGCTATGAAGGATGTGTCCCTGGTCTTCCACTGCGCCTCCCCAGCTCCTGCCAGTGATGACCGCGGGCTATTTGAGAGGGTCAACATTCAGGGCACACGCATCGTCATCCAGGCCTGCATCGAGGCCGGAGTACAGGTGAGGAAAAGGTGGAGGCAGCCAGGGGAGAAAAGGCTGGGCTTTTATCCTTTTCCATGGCTACGATGAATTTTTCCAGGAATATAAGATGCCATTGAAGTCGTTTTTGTATTTTCAGAAACTGGTCCTGACGAGCAGTGCTAGTGTGGTGTTTGAAGGGACAGATATTAAGAATGGGAGAGAGGATCTGCCATACGCCAAGAAGCCCATCGACTATTACACAGAGACCAAGATTGAGCAGGAAAAGGTAGGAGTGTGTATTTTCACTGTGTGTGCTGTGTGCTCTGCATGTGTGACCATTCAAGAGGGTTTCATCCCTTCTATTCTATTTGGTGATGTTGTCTCAATACACACACCTTTATACACTTTAATTGTATTACCATCATACCACAACTGAATATCATCTTCAGCAGTAGTAGGTACATTTCTTCAGGAATTCCTCAAGGACGTTATCTGCTCCATGCCCTTGACAATCCCTCACACTAATATGAGCTGCAACAATTAGCCAATAAAAATGTTTTCAAGTGAAAAATGCAGAAAGTAATGTTTTCAGCCTCTCAATGTGTAGATTTCCTGCATTTCCCTGATTTATGTCATATAAAACTATATCATTTTAGATTTGAAAGTTACAAAGTAAAACATGACCTTGGACTTTGAAAACACGGAGATAGACTTATGTCCATTTAAATCGATAACAAAAATAATATTGTTGAATATTTTCTACTTTCATGGTGTTTTAGCTTGTCCTCGAGGCTTGTGACAAAGAGAAAGGTCTCCTCACAGTTGCTATCCGGCCTCATGGCATCTTTGGCCCTCGGGACCCTCAGCTGGTTCCTATCCTCGTGGACGCAGCTCGCAGGGGCAAGATGAAGTTCATCATTGGGTAAGTCGCAGTGGTTAAATTATTGCTACCAATCCAACTAGTTGAATCTACTAATAGAAAGAAAATAAAAGGCTCTTATTTCATAACTTATTACTGCAAGTACTAAAGCTATAGGTACTAAAGCTTTTATGTGTGCTGCTCCTCTAGCTTGGAACACTATGCAAAACAAATTGAAACTGAGCATGTTGGTTCCCTTGCATCATTTTAAAACTCGGATAGATGAAATGTTATTAGATATCTGTCATTGTGAATAGGTTGCTAATGTATACCCCTGTAATTATGTTGTATTGATGTCCTTTTTGTTTTCTGTTGTTTTTATGTGTAACCAATGTGCTGCAGGTCTCCCTTGAAAAAGAAATTGTTGATCTCAATGGGATTTTCACCTGGTTAAATAAAGGCTACAAACAAGTAGAGAAATGTCCCTCTTAAGATTCAGGTGTAAATAGTGCATTTCATAAATAAAAATAGTAGATAGAGACATTTCTCTCCAAAACCTGAACTCAAATGTTGGGTTTCAATTTGGCTTCCTGCATATAAGTGTCAAAAATAAACTGCAATGTGTTAACTTACAATACTGACATGAAGTGGAGGTAACTACTAATGCGTCAACCACCCGAAGGCATAACTAGTACAACAAGCACGTGTTTCCCAAGGCTTTGGCTAGTTCTGCAAACATTTTAGTGATACACCTGTTCAATCATCATGTCTGCATGTAATTATGTTCTCACAAAAATAGGATTCTGAAAATATATTTTCTCTTATATACAGTATATACTTTTACATCTTCTTATCAACTTTGTAGCAGTTTGACTAAAGTTGCTGGGGTGCCAGTCAGGTCAGGCCTCCCAATTGTTATAGTTAAGGTTGAGTCAAACCCTACAAAGGGTACATGTTACCGACGGGGAAACATACAGCACATACCCCTCTTAACCACTTCAATATTTCTGTATTTTTAACCTAGTAAATTAATACCTTTGAACAAAAAACACTCAACACTTAATACCTTTGAACAAAAAACACTCAACACATCACTTTAAATGCAGACAAAATAATCACTGTGAAATGTGAAATTAGTGTTATGAAAGTGGCTCAGTGTGCTGAATGATTAAATGTTTGAACTCCTACATTATTATTTTTTTACCATTATTGCTAATTATATTTCTGTATTAATTTTCCTTCTTTGTTTTATGCAGGGATGGGACCAATCTGGTGGATTTCACCTTTGTGGAAAACGTAGTTCATGGCCACATTCTGGCTGCTGAGCGCCTGAGGCCGGACTCTCCTATATGTGGAAAAGTGAGAGAATAGAATCCAACACAGAGCCAATTTAATTTAATCTACTAGAGATAACATGTCGGTAGTCTCACGACTCCTTTTTCAGGATAAAAATGTGTATATGCTTTCTAAATCTAAATTAAAAAAAAAATAATTAGTAGAAGCGGGAGGACAGAAAGCATAGCTTCCTGTTGCAGGATAAAGTAAATAAAAGATAATTCCGTAATTAAATACTCACACCGATAAACAATTCTATATATACATACACATACATATTACATACACCCATTTCCAGGGTGAACATATATGCATTATACATATTATACATATACATTTACAACAAGTAAAACAAATGTACTAAGATAATTATGATAACAGTCATTATAATTATTATAGTATTTATAATTATTATTATTATTATTATCATTCTTGTTATTATCATTATCATATAAACTTTTTCTAAAGTCACAATGACCGGATAAACATAAAAAAAAATACTGAAACTGAATGTCAAGCTAAAAACATCTTGTATCCCCTGCTTCCCTTTCAGCCATACCACATCACCAATGACGAGCCCGTTAAATTCTGGGACTTCATGTCTGATGTGTTGGTGGGTCTGGGGTACGCTGCCCCCCGCTACCACCTCCCCTACGCTCTAGTGTACGGCCTGGCCCTGCTCCTCTGGCTGCTGGCTCTCATCCTGCGCCCTCTGGTCTCCTTTAAACCCACCTTCACCCCCATGAGAGTGGCTCTGGCTGGAACCCACCACTACTACAACTGTGAGCGCGCCAAGCAGGACCTGGGCTACAAACCGGTGGTCAGTCTGAAGGACGGGATAGCCCGCACCGTGCAGAGCTACCCTCACCTCAGACAGGGGGCTTGATGGAAGAATGAAGACTGTTGAGACATGTAAGGCTGTACAGTTACACTCGCCGACAATACAGTGATCACGTAACCCTGACTGGACAATTTAGAATAAGAGAAGAAACCTCACTATATGTGCCTTTAGGAAATGTACTTTTCACCAGCAGATGGTAGCAAACAGTTCTATGTTTGGTCAACACACTGCAGTCTAGCAATGTTTGTAAGCACTGAGTAAACAGTAAAACCCCTGTATATGACAGCATCAATCTACTGACCTTTCACTGTGAAGACATTACAATTCATATTTTGCTTTTGTTTGACAACATATGCTCCATATGCATTGCGATTATTGATGTTACTGTTATGTGAAGACATTTTTATGCCAGAAATGTAACAATAATATAATAAAATAATGATAATAATGCAAGTAAACCCTTTCAAGAGGAATTCACTTTCAAATCTTAATAATTGTCCGACATTGGAATTGGACCATGAAGAAAATGCACTAAAATATCCAATGTAAATAAAATAATCAGGCTTCTAAAAAAATTACACGCAATATATTGCCATTCTGGGTTTCTCAAAAATAAGGATGTGTAGAAACAAAAGGTGCAACATAACATTTGTGAGTAACAACAACATCAACCCTCTCTCTCAGTCGTCTGAAACCCAAGATATTCTCACACCTGAGCTGCAGATGATAAATCTAAAATGTTAAATGATCAGGGGAAAAATATACTCATCTTGACAGGCATATTCTTCTTACATGTCCCTATATTTCATCTGTTTGATCTACACTCCTTGACATGCTGCTATTAAAGGTGGAGTAGGTAATTTTGGAGAAACCAGAATTTGAAAATACACAACCGGAAAAAATCTGCCACTTCCTTACAGAGCCCCTCCTCCAACACACACGAACGCACACATGACCAATGAGGGCACGAGATACGTTTGTGCACAGATGGAAGACTGACAGGCAGGTAGGCCATCCAGTTATTTTAGCCGGGCCGGCTAAAATGATTGGTTGTACTTTTTACAGTACTACGGCTTCCACAGAAGACGTTTTTTAATGTATTTTTTGTCAAAGCACTTAAGATATTCATTGCTATCGGGATGTTAAGAGCATTCCATGGAATATAACAAAGTGTATCTCGAGCCGGTTTCTCAAACTTACCTACCCCACCTTTAATGTCAAATGTCTTGATCCGTTACAAAATGTTTCTCCTGATACTACTTGTGTGAAAATAATTGACAGCCTCCATTTCCTCTTCTTTTAATTAGCAGCATGCAGAGATGCTTTACAATAACAAGCCTGTAGCTTGTAGCAACACGTTGTCACTCTCTTGTTTCTACAGAACAACACCAATGCACAATGCCACATGCTTCAAAGAAGAATGGAGGCTGTATTACATAGCATCATATTACTAACCACAGTTTAGAGCAGAGGTTCCCAAATAGTTTTGTCTCGTAAAATCCTTGACCTCGTCGTCATTCTATAAGTACCCCCTCACATCTGTTATGATTCGCCTAAATGTTTTCTTGTATTAAACCCTCTGTAATCAGATTAAACCCAACTGCTCCTTAGATACAAATCAATCATAGCTTAGCACGGTAACACTGTCCTGAAACACTGACACTTTGGAAGTGGAAATAACAACATCATGCTGCTGAGGTCTCATACTGGCTGAACTTAAGTCTTTTTACACAGAACAAACACTCTCTCTTACTCTGGAATTGCTTTAGAAATGGATCTGTTCATGGATATTATGGACTGGAGGAATGAGCAATAACTGTTATGTATTGGAATAATAGTTGGTGTCCACATACTTTTGACCATACTCGCTATTTCCATATATAACACTACCATTTCTTTAATGATGTATTATCTGTGCTATTAGACACTGTAAATCATCAGGATGGCATGTGTTTCTTCGAGTTATGGGGATTCATAAAATACTATTCAAGAACTATCATTGAATACAATAATGGGCTAGGCAATGAAAATGCATTGTAAGCTAGTTTCAATCCCCCATTTCCATACGACATCTGTCATTCTGTCATGTTAATGATCACAAAGATATAAAACAAAACTTGTAAATGCCTAAGGGCCTCCTTCTCACAGTATGTATGTCATACATATTTATTAGCTGCCACAGAGTTGACCACACCATTCCACACCATTCCGTGCCTTGGTGTGGTTTCAGAAAGGTTGGGGTTAAGTTGAGATACTTTGCATTCTTCTTTTTAATTCCGAGCCAGCAGCACCTTAATGATTCACTGCTACAGTCAGCGTCACCGGGCAAGGCCGTCTGACTGGTTTCTCGTTCAGTGAGAGAGAGGGATCCAGTTAGATAATAGGCTGCAGCGTTTACACTCGGCAGTGTGCTCAGCAGAGTGAAACTTCGCCTCTCAGACTTGCTAATTTCCTCCTCCTCCCCTTCTCTGATATGTTGCGAAATATTTCACACCCTCCTCTGATTTGAAAAGACTTTGTAAATGTATACACAGTATGCGTGAGATTGCTGTTTGTACTGAAACCTGGTCGACTGATCTCATGTAGTGTTTTCACAGGGTGCATTGCAGTCACATGAAAAGTACTTTTTGTTTCAATTTGTCAAAGAAATTGTTGGACAATTGCAGGACTTTTCTTGCCTTTCACTTAGACAAATATAGACATACATCTTGCTTGTCATAGGCTTTCATCTGCCAACAATATGTAGGCTCATAGACAATGTTAACCTAAGCTCCATTTGCCTTTTACTACACTCTGATTAGGGTGTATATCTTCACGATTGTGGTTTTAAAAAAAAATGTGTACAGAAACTAATGACAATACTCACTTTTTGATTTCAAATATACACGTTTAATTCAAAACATTACAAATTAGATTGGCTTTGGCTTGTAGTCTATTTTAAAATTATAATTATATATCTTTATTGTTGTATGGGCCACTGTTTGTTCATTATCTCGGTTCACTTGTGTGCTCGTCATCTCATTTTAATGATGTTTGTGCTTCCTGGATTTTCCTATCCCCTGAGCATGAGAGGAGCGTTCCCACAGAAGATCGAGCCTCGAGTCTTTTCCCTTTCGTCTTCCATGTGCACCTTGTTGTCGCCTTCTTCCCTTTGACGTGTTCCCTCGCAGAAATGATTGCTGTCTCCAATGAAGTAATCGCAGAATATTGAGTTCTTAGCAACCTCTATTACACACACCCACATGGATACACAAACACACAGGTAGGTCTCCACCCCACAGTTACCTTCCTTGACTGGCTGGTCTTGTTAATGCTCACGCCCGTACCTGTTTGTGAGACACCTGTCAGACAGAGAGAGACTGCTCACACTCGGAGGGACACACTGGTCACACACACTCGACTCGAGCTGAGTGGACTTTTCTCTGCTGGATATAAACTTAAAAAAGGTAGGTACCCAGGCTTTTAGGTGTTTTATTCGCAACATGATTTAAAGTATATTCTGTTTTAGGAGCTTCAGATCAGCAGATGTAAGAAGACATCTAAAAGGAATCAATCATGCTTCATGCTATTAAGTGTTACCTGGTGATTGACTGTGTTTGCCCTGCCATTTTTCTGGGTGTTTCCATGTCATGATTTCTTGTCAGTAGAGTTGTCTATCCTGCTCCATCATTTGCTTAACTGCTTTTGTTCAACATCAATAATTTATGCCGCGTGGACAGACGTGCTAAAGCTAAATAAATATGCCTTCTGAGTCACAAATTATGAAGACATTATGCTCCAGAGATATTGTGATGACATGCTTTAGAAGGAGTGCATTCACAGCCCCAGGAGTTTAACAGGTTGTATTTGCATTTTGAATTGGGCTCTTCAATTTTGCATAAGCTCCTAACCGCACCTACTTTAAGATAATGTACCCTTAGTAGTTTATCTCTTTGTCTTTAGCTTCAATAGGAAGTAGTTTTCCCTCTGAGCCGTTCACGTTTGTCTGTAAATAACTGAGAGGTGAATCATTTGGATATGATTGAGAAGAATATTTATCCAATCACAAATCATTCAGTGCGAGTTATATTTTGAATCCAAACACAAAGGATCCTAATATATATTTGTGTGTGAGTCCATTGATATTTAGGCAACATGAGTATTTTCTTTGCAAAGTGGTAGGACAGGATCACCAACATGTCTAAAGGATGAGACTCAGGAATGCTTTACTGAGTTTGCTCTGGTAGGGAACATCACGTGGGAAGGACTTTTTGAAACTAGGCTGTCATAAACATTTACATTTCCTGCAACTTCTTTTATCATGATCTCTGCCCCAAATATATTTTGTAGGTATCCTGTGAAGATAACAGAACAAAGAAAAAAAGAGAAACCTCTAGAGAACAAGCATGTCAAAAGGTGAGTTTGCTGACTGATGTGATCTGAATGCAAGATGATGAGTTTCCTCCAATCAAAACAGAGTGCATCCGAGGGCGTATATATCTCCGTGCCAGGTGGATGACTCTGTAAATTCTGATCTTCTGACATTTTCTTGAATAATGCAAAATACAAGGTGTTGATTATGTGGTGTGTGATGGCGTTTGAATGAATGAATGAAAATGAAGTATACATTAATTCAAATGTCATTATGATGCAGACCACAGTGTGTTTTATATGTTAGATTGTGTGAAGGTAATTGACATAGACTATTTGTGTGCCCCAAGTGGACAAAGAATCTGTGTTTCAAACCACCAAAGTGCGCACCAAGCTGAAGGGAGATGGCAGCTGGATGCAGCGCCGCAATGAGGCTCAGGCTGAAGATGACAAGGCAAAACCATGGTGAGGCACTTGTTGAAGAAGGTTTCTGTCAAATGATCCATTTATTAGTCACTGGAATAGACCAAAACCAAGTTCCTGTTTACCAATACAGGTTAGCTGAAGTAAGGGCCAGCCGTGAAAATGGAGCCCCGGTTGAGACCAGTCCAGTGTCGTCACCAACAACACCCACGCCACCACCCACAAAGCCTGACGCTGAAAGGTAAACACAGGTTTCTAATGTTATCTTCAGAGCACTCCCATAAACATGATTGTGCTGATAATGACTCTCTGTTTTGAATTTAGAGCACCATCTTCAGGATTCCTGATGAGGTAAGATAAGCACTTGCACATTCAGACTACCTGTTTTACTAGGATACCTAAATTAAAAGGAGATGTGTCAAAATCTAAGTATATGAATATCATTTTCTTTTATTAACTCACATTTCTGTTTTTCTTTCAGAGGCATTTTCACTAAACTAGACAAGACTCCTTCATCCTCAACAACTAACAGTGTTAGGTAAGAATTTCTCTCATTTGAACAAGCAAAGTTAATTGTGTGACTACAGACCCACGTTAATATATACATGTGTTTTTCTAACAGTGGAACAACAACAACACAATTCACCAAAAAACCTTCAGAGAGCTACAAGAAAATGTGAGCGCA